CCCATGCGCCGCGCACCCAGGGCCGGCGCTCCCCCCGCCCATGCGCCCGGGGCCAGGCCAGCCCCGAGCACCTGGCGGGCGCATGGAAATGCCCCTGCGGGCGCCATGGCACCCGTGGGCACCGTGTTGGGGACCACGGCTCTAACAAAATACTCTTCATAGTCTGTAAGTAGGATAAAGTTTAGATAAATCCATTAGGTTTTATTATTTTATGGTTTGGGAAATGGGATCTGCTGTCTGTGCATTTAAAAATGGGTTTTGCTCTCCTTTGTACTAAGTTTCTGGCCCATGGTAAATTTCTCCTCCAGGAGTATATTATTTTGTTACTCTTCCATCTAGTCATTATACTTGCAACAGGAATATCATGGTGATAATAAAAGTTCTCTTTTCTTTTTATTTACTTGGTATTGGTTAATTTGTGTGTCCTGGTTTGTACTTCAGGGGTGAGATTTCCCAAGCAGTCTCTGCCTGGTTGCTTTATTAATATTTGGGTGGTGGCAGCAGAGATATTTATCCCCAAAATCTAAGTTGTTAAGATTTTTTTGGGGGGGAGGGGAGGAGTTTTATACCAAAGCCTGGTAGATAAGGTTTTGGGGTACTTTTTCTGGCTCCCACTCCTGCATTTATTGTGCCAGAGTGAGGAAGGAGCCATGACAAGCTATTCTGAAATAACACTGCTGTGTAGACACTCATATATATGTGCTGCTGCAGTGATAGGAATTAGAGCTGTGCCTATAAATAAAAGTAGAAGAGTGCATATTATTGATGTTTCATTGCCCAGAAAGGGTTTAAAATTCTCTGTGAAAATATATAAATACTTCATCGCTTTCTTCTAAACTGGAGGGTTAGCTCAGTGGTTTGATCATTGGCCTACTAAACCAAGGGTTGAGTTCAGTCCTTCAGAGGGCCTTTTAGGGATCTGGGACAAATCTGTCAGGGATGGTACTTGTCCTGCTCTGAGGGGACCTCTCAAGGTCCCTTCCAGTTTTCCTTATGTAAAATGCCTATTTGGCAAACAAATAGAAGTCCAAAGAACTGCTATCTTTAGTAGGTATTCTTTGATATTTCACGTTTATCAAAAGAGTCATATCAAAACCCCATTTTATCACAAGAGGGCTGAAACTTGACTCCGTACAATGTAATGAAACTAAACAATGCTCAGAAAGTCATAAGTGACACTGAATTTCTACCCAGCAAAACATAAAACATCATACACGAGTGACATTTTACACCCTGGTGCCGATAAAAAATGCAGTTTTATTGCAAGCAGCAAGGCCCCTTTCCCAGGATTTTCAGCCCAGACAGTTGCTGTGAAAAAGATTAATATAAAATAAGGAAAAACATGCCACAGCTGTGGGCTCAGAGCTAAACAGCCAACCTGGTTAAAAATTGAATAAAAAACATTTTGTAAAGGAGAGAGGCTTCTCATGCCTTTTCCTTATCGTTCTTCTGCCATTCCCCAAATTGCAGGGGCAGGGCAAATGCCAGGAAGCTGCCAAAGTCACTGTTGGTTCTATTCAAAAGCAGATCCTCCCACTAAGGAAGGCTGTCATTGGTCAGTACCCAGCTCCTCTTTATAGTTGTCCTAGAAAGACTTCCATTGTATAAAAAGTTAATGCAAACAGGGTTGATTAGGGGCCAGCTGTTTCAAATATATCAAAATCTGTTCTGTGACAAAACACAGTATGTGGCATGCTGTATGATAAGCAGAACAAACGTTTACTTAGGAAGGAAATGCTATGGACGGCAATGGTACCTCAGGATTTGCTCAAATACAGAAGAATCAAGATGAGAGACACCAAAATGAAAGTTACGCACCTGGAGTAGTGTGCAAACTGCTGATATGCTATTACTCCCTCCACCATCTGTTCATGAGGTTTGAAGTTCTTCATGAGAGGCAAAACAAAACAGAGGAATCTTGATTCTATACAAAATACTATTTGCTTGTGCCTGGGTTGTCTAAGGAGAAGCGCTAGAAGTACAGAAGACAGATCAAACTCCTCCTAGCCACAGCATGCAATAATTAGAAATAAACATGAACAGTGAGCTTCAGCCATCATGATCCAGCCTTAGCAATGCCTGGTAGCAGAAAACTGAGGCATTTACAAAAAGCCTGAGCTTTTTACATTTAATGATAATTAAAACCAGCAATAGTATAGTCCTTCAGCCTTCCACGTACGTGAATGCCTACGGACAAATAATTTAGACAGTGTTTGAAGAAATGAGTCAGCTGTCCCATATATAGGCTTAGGAAGGTCCCTTTTAATAGCAATAATCCAGGCTTTAAGCTCTGTGAGCAAAAGGAATGGTGACTGTTGGTCTCTGAATAAACCAGTTTCTTGTTCCACAGCAGAGACATTACAAAACCCTCCAGAGCCTCTGCAGGAATTCACACTTTCTGTTTTACCATAAATCAAGGCTCTAAGGTTAGTTCATATTATGAAACATGGCATAAAACTCGGGCTTTAATTTTTCATATTTCTACTGTACATTAACAAAAGCACCTATTTAATTTTGATAACTATGTAAATATATTCAAATAAAATGTAAATGGTGTGATAATTATGTGCTGAATGTCCCAATTTTATAAAGATGATAATCAATGCAATTCCTTTCAGATAATGGCTTATGCAGATACAGCATGAACTAAGTGAGTTTTTAAATATCATTGTTAACCCATTGCTTATTTGAACAAAAGTAAAAATCAATCCTGCCTAATGAGCAGAGTGCCCAATGTAAGGAGTTAGCTGTGTATTCAAGCTATAGCAAATAAAAGACGCATGGATGGCTAATGTTCTTTAACGCTATATGGATATATCAGGTAAGTTAGTAACTTACCTGATATATCCACAGCAGAGAGAAAGAGGATTGCTTATTTCAAGAAATTGTGAGCTTTTATTTCAATTATTGAACTGTCAATGTAGGAGTCAGACATAAAACTAGATTGTATGTATTGTTCACCGCACAATGAAATTATTTCCAATTAACTTTCAGGGGATATCTGGTTTCACAAATGTGGTTTGAAATTAACTACTTTCTCTGAATACTGTTTATATTTTATACACTTTCTGGCATTTCAGTTTAATGTGCAGATGGACAGGAATTGCAGATATTGCATAGTGATCTCAGTGATTTTTAGTACTCCTAATAATATCTTCCTCAAAGCCCAACTTACCTGATAATACACATAAGTATCTTATCTTCATTAGCATTTATGGGACATCATTATGCTTCTGAAGATATTAGACTTCTGATTTTCACCAGCACTTCTGTTTGTGGTGACTTCTAAAATCAGGGTAAAGGTGATCAACATGTAGTTGCTTCATTTTGTTTAAAGGAGTTAAAATGAGTATAGAAGATGCTGGTAGTATACAGGTGCTATTTATTTTTGTAATGTTTTCTTTTACTTACTCTGAGTGCAGAAGATGAGGGCCTGCAAGAGACCTTAAAAGCTTTGCCTCTTCAGGTACTGATGACAAAAACTTCCCAGAGTCACAGATTCCCTGGCTCTGAGAAATAAACAAATAAGATGCCACCATCAAGTGCTTTTTTATCCCTAAAACCAAGGGTGAACACTTGAAACCACCTCCAGGAGTACCCCCATGCCCTTTTGCCCCAAAAAAGCTTGAAAAAAGAAAAGAGAAAAATAAGCTGCAGTCTCTAGTATCTGACCCCTCAGTCAGAAGCATGCAGATACACAAAGACAGATAGGACACCAGAATCAAATCATCACCTTACAAAAAGTGATTTTTATTATAAGACAATAGACAAACTTGATAAAGCATACTTGGTTGCTAAATGTTACAGAACAACTAAGGAAAACAAATTAAAACATAGAGAAAAAAAAATCTCTGGGCACAATGAGAGGTACTAAATGGGGAGGGGAGGTATAGATACATGCAGAGAAGTTCAAACCAAACCACAAAATAAAGAAAAATTACCCTGAAGCTGATTAAATTCACTTTTCTTTCCCTTTTACTTACTTCCAGTCTCCTCTTTGTTCAGTCCACTTCCATGCTCTGAATTCCTTGGAGACATGGTAGTCCTGCCTGAGTTTAAATCATTCTGTATCTCTCAACTCCTGGTTTATCTCTCCCACACAAAGAAAGCAGGCAAGGAATCTTATACAATCCAAATTTCAGCCCTCTATCTCGATTGGTTCTTCCAACCCCCTGGCCAACACCTTTGCGAGCTACCTGAGTTTAAACCCGTAGTCACTGAGTGCTGGTCAGCACTCTTCCTGTCCATTACAGCAAGTATGTTCACTTTTCTGTTATTAGAACACAGTATCTCTCACAAATTTTTGTTGTATTTTCTAATCCCACAAAATGTCTAAATCGCATACATGTGTAATCACACTGAACAATATGAAAGTGAAAGACTGCAATTTTCCTTTGTGCTGTTGTACTCCTGGATAAATGAGGATAAAATAAATCAAATGCATTTAATTTGCATGGTCAATTAGACAAATTAAGCTTGTAGATTAGTAATTATTAATTTTTATTGGCAGTGGAGTACAGTAGACATATCTACAGGACTGTCTGTAGGTCTTACATAAGCAGATATTTATACAGCCAAAACTAAGTTATGAACACATCAGAAATGGAGGTTGTTCATAATTCTGAAATATTTATAACTAAGGGGCTGGGCACTATGCATATATGGTGGTGTTTGGTGTGCAGCATATACCGTGTCAAATAGAAAAACAGTGAGACCCAAATCCTCAAGGGTGGTGCCTAACTCCCATTGAAATCTATGAGAATTAGGCCCTTAAGGCACTTTTGAGGATTTGGGCCTGATTTACATATAACTGACCAACTAAAATTATTATAACCAATTGAACTCAGTCCTACAGTTTGAGGAATAATTTTAAATCTTCAAACAAAAGAAAACTAGGAAAAAGTCAGGACATTTGAGAAGAAATTGTTGAAATTATTTTAGTATTAAGTAGTCGTTACATTTAATGGGGAGAGTTTATTCATTTCTCTGGATTAAAAAGAATTTGATTATTTTCTTGCATTATCTGTTCAATAAAACAATGGTTGTTAATCCCACTGCATGCCCCTGAACTCTTTAAAAGTACATAGTGAAAATAGACGCATAGGACCAATTTACAGCAGTGAGTTAAGGGGCTCTTACTGAGTTTGAGGCGAAACAGGGTAGGTAAGGGCTACCCTGTGGAATAGATACTTTGTTACTCCTAAATGCATGTTAAGGACCAGTGTGCTTGTTCTCTACCTGATGAGACAAAACACAATTCTTATCCTGAAAAGAGCCTAATCCTACTTCCAGGAAAATAATTGGGAGCCAGATTAGGCCTTTAAAGAAGAGTTTCTGGTTTATCTATCCTATCTTCCAAACTCCTAGCTACATGGATAGGACACTGAATAGGCTCTAAACTCTGTTCCTAGTTTTGTCATTGGGTAGCAGAGTGACCTTCAGTAAGTGTGACCCTCTGTGCCTCAGTTTCCTCATCTTTAAAACAGAGCTCATGGGCTTAATCTGCAGCAATGAAGATGTAGGTTATTTATTAGTAAAACCTTTCTATAGGCTTCTGCCTAAGGTTGGGTAACCCCCTTCCCTGGAGGTTTTTAAGAACACTTTGGATAAAAACCTGTCAAAGAAGGTCTAGGTTTTAGTTGGACCTGCCTCAATGCAGTGGGCTGAACTTGATGGCATCTCACGGCCCAATAGTTCTATGATTCTATATTATTCATAAGAAAAATCCCGCTAACTGCTTGTATGCATCAGGATTATTTATATGAATAAAGGGTCTGTGCTCCACTGCTATTGCCTATTGTATTCATAGTGTTCTTTACAGTGAAGTTTCTCACGTTGAAGATTCAAAACACAGAACTCTCGGTTTCAGTGCAATATTGCCACATGTTCAAGGCTATGGTTCTTAACGCAATACACAGTATGCTGAACAGTATGAATTCCCTTAATAGAACCCTGCTGCTGAGAAAAGAAAGAACAGAAAGCTAACAATATTGATACAGTAACATAAGATTGTAATTTTCCAGACATAAATGTTACTTCCACTGTGAGCATATCTTTACCCTATACATGTCACTGTGATGACCTTTAGAAAATGATTTTGTTTTCTCTGAGCATCAACAATGACTCTTTTCCCTTTGCAGAACTAGTAGATAAAAATACCACTAGGTTATATATATTAGTGCACCTTTAAATTTCCTCCATTATCATTTCTCTTTTTCCTTTGAATCTTTGTCTCTTTATTTTTAATTTTTTTCTATATCCTATCCTTTTTTCTTCAGTTTCAGACACTTTTCTTTTAATTGCTCTTTTCAGAGAGATAAATTTTTAGTGTGATGCACAGGGAATTAACTCCCAGTTCCCAGATCACAATAATGTTCACAGAAGCCATGTGTCTAAATCCCAGTGCACTATGTTGAAACACTACCTGATGCGGCTCATGTTTTCTTTCATCGTGTACTTTTTCAGTTTTGTTTGTTCTTCTTTTTTAATCTCCCACATGTCCCATTTTATTTTCCTTTTCTTCTTATTTCTCACCCATCCCTTTTAACTGCATCAAAGTCAACTAGTCCAAATCCATAATATCAGCTGTCATTGGGCTGGCTCTTTAAGAGAGTCACATGAACAGCCTACATGTGAGAGGCTTCAGTGAAGGGAGTGAGCAAAGGCAGGTCCACTTGGGGATAGTTAACTGCCTAAGTAATTGGAAGGCAGTTAATTAAGTGAGGAGCACCTGGGCCTAATAAGAAGCTTAAGAGAAAAGGAGCTTCTGAGGGATAGGAAAACCCCAGAGGAAGAGGAACTTCTGTGGAGCTTGAACTAGATACAAGATCGCCAGACAGAGATGCTGAGTAAGTGGGGAACAGGTGGTAGAGCTTTCCAGACAGCAGAGAAGCTTGACATTTTACAGCAGAAGGAGCTGCTGGTGCAATCTACTGAATTCTGTTTACAGGACTTCTAAATGTCATATGGGCTCTGAGGCAAGAGCCTCTAAACATCTGAAGAAGTGCTTTTTTTCAGGGCCCTTTCTTTAAAGGAGGCATACTGCTGTTAAGTAGTGTTTGGCTTCTTAATTGGGCTGTTTGAGGGTCCTCACTGTCAGCTTCAATTAGGAGGGGAAACTGAGGCAGGCTAGAGCAGAGCCATGTTCAACCACAAGGAGGTTTTTGAGAGGCAGTGGTGCCCCCATCCAAATCAACACCCTGTTTCACAAACGGGTGTAGATTGTTAGGATTGCCCTCTGCTGAATATGGGACATCTGAAAAAATTACTTCTATTCAAGAGAGTTCAATAGCAATCAGTCTGGGTGGGGTTGCGACTTCTTTGGTGGATAGGGACACAATTCAAAATGACCTTAGCAAGTTAGAGAAATGGTCAGAGGTAAACAGGATGAGGTTTAATAAAGAGAAATGCAAAGTGCTCCACTTAGGAAGGAACAATCAGTTCCATACATACAAGATGGGAAGCGACTGTCTAGGAAGGAGCATGGCGGAAAGGGATCTAGGGGTCATAGTGGACCACAAGTTGAATATGAGTCAACAGTGTGACGCTGTTGCAAAAAAAGCAAATATGATTCTAGGTTGTATCAACAGGTGTGTTGTAAGCAAAACTCGTGAAGTCTTTCTGCCGCTCTACTCTGCACTAGTTAGGCCTCAGCTGGAATACTGTGCCCAGTTCTGGGAGCCACATTTCAAGAAAGATGTGGAGAAATTGGAAAGGGTACAGAGAAGAGCCACAAGAATGATTAAAGGTTTAGAGAACATGACCTATGAAGCCAGGCTTCATAAACTGGGCTTGTTTAGTTTGGAAAAAAGAAGATTAAGGGGGGACATGATAGCGGTTTTCAAATATCTAAAAGGGTGTCACAAGGAGGAAGGAGAAAATTTGTTCCTTTTGGTTTCTGAGGACAGGACAAGGAGTAATGGGCTTAAAGTGCAGCAGGGGAGGTTTAGATTGGACATTAGGAAAAAATTCCTAACTGTTAGGGTGGTCAAATATTGGAATAAATGGCCAAGGGAGGTGGTGGAATCTCCCTCTCTGGAGATATTTAAGAACAGGTTAGATAGACATCTGTCAGGGACGGTGTAGACGGACTTGGTCCTGCCTTGAGGGTGGGGGGCTGGACTCTATGACCTCTTGAGGTCCCTTCCAGTCCTATGATTCTATGATTCAGTCAGAACTGTTGTACAAACATTCAAATTAAAGTCAGGTTGGCTGCGCCTATGTTAAAAAGAAATACTGCATAGTTAGATTCTTTTTATTTACGTGCCTATCTTTAGGGCTAACTTGGGGAGAGGTGAAACACACACCCCCAGGCACCTCTTTTATATGAGGGGTGTGGATGATTGACTGACTCGACCCTCCCTGCCTGTCACTCTTCACCCTCCATGCCTGGCTGAGATGGACTTTCCTCTCCTGGTATCTGGAGCTATGACTTCCCAAAACAACACGTGTGTGTGTGGGGGGGGGGGAGGTGGAAGATTAAATGTCCTCTCCAAATGTCTGC